TCAAAATGGATGTCAGAAGAGACACTGAAACTTGCTCTCCAGTGTAGAGATGCTAAAGACACACAATCTTCTGACTGCGCTCTGTTATCTGTGAACAGTTGTTTGGTCACCAGCAGTAAAGCAATATTGAGGACTCTGCTATGGGAGCTGAGTATGCAGGCTTCTCTCCCAAACACCAGGGCAGTCCCTGTCATCCAACTCTACTCTTTCTCAGCCTCTGCACTTCAACTCTAGCCTTGAAGAGAGATTACTCAAGGGCTAGCCTAAAGCTATGCACTCATCACCTTACCACCAATAAAAGTGTGGATGGCCTATACAAAAGAATGTTTGTTAGTATATAATTGTTAATAGGAAAAAATTGGGACTACCAAAGTCTACAATAACAGATAAGTTATTATAATTTCTTACAGTGAAAAAATATGAAGAGTTAAAGCATGTTAAAAGAGTATTTAATAGCACATGGAAAATGTTTTTGTTTTAATGTTAACTTAAAAAAAAAAAAAACATACAAAAGTTACCAAACCAAGTGATCCTTAATTTTTGAAGCAAAACAAATACGTAATTTTGTCTAGAAAAAAGGACTGTGGTATATAGCAATGGTTTCAATAGTTAAACCTACAGAAAATTTGTTTTGGCTTTTTTGAATTGAAACTAATTTACTAAAATTTTAGGTAGATTATGCATTGATTTTGCAATTTGAGCTATTTTTTTCAAATAATTTTTGGAAACTACCTTACTGAAAAATTAAAACTAATAGAGGAATTATTTATGTACATCTTTGTGAGATGGATTGGCAAAATGGCAACATCAATGGGGTCAAGTGTGACAACAATTGCGAGGTTGGCCCAGAACTGGGCAGTGTTTCATTCTGTTAGGCTTAGAGTCACTAAGAGTTGGTACCGACTCGATGGCACCTAACAACAACAACACGTATATTGGATAAAGCCCTGGACCACAAGGTTGGTTTGAACCAAAAGGTCGGAGGTTCAAACTCACCAGCTGCTGCTTGGAAACCCTATGGTGATGGTGTGGAGTAGAATCCGATTCTTAGTGACCCAGGATAGGATTTCCAAGGCTATAAATCTTTACAGGAGCAGAAATCCTCATCTTTCTCACGCGGAACAGCTGGTAGTTCCAAACTAGCTGACCTTGAGGTTAGTTTCCCAATTTATAACCACTTTTGTTGTTGTTGTTATGTGCCGAGGAGTCGGTTCCGACCCATAGAGACCCTGTATAATGGTTTCCGAGGCTGTAAATCTTTGCAGGAGCAGAAAGCCTCATCTTTCTCCTACGCTACCCTACACAGGGTGGCTAAGAGTCAGAACTGACTCGATAGCACTTAGCAACAGCATATGGATTTGAAAAAGCCTTGGTGACACAATGGTTAAGCACTCAGTAGCTAGCTAAAAATGTTGGAAATTCAAACCATGAAAGAAGAAAACTCAGTAATGTGCTCCCATAAAGATTACAGCCTAGAAAACCTTATTGGGTTATTCTACTCTGCCCTTAGAAGGTCACTGTGAATTAGAACATGGCATACAACAATGAGTATATGAGTGAGGTGGCAATAAAGGTACAACCAAATTGCAAAAAAAAAAAAAAAAAAAACACAAAAATTTAAAGATCTGATAGAATTGTCAGGGGGAAGGTGAGCACTAGAGTAAGTATGAGGAATGTCTACATGTTGAGACAATTAAGTTAATTTGAAACCTTTTTCCTAGGATTCTGTCTGCCTCCAACTCACAGCCCATGGAAGAATTCTTCTTTACTTGACTTACCCATTCTTGGATACCAGAGAGTTTTATATAGATTCTTGTCATAGAAGTACAGCTTTTCATCTAGTTTCAAAGAGTTACTAGTTACATGGAACATTATGTTATTTTCCTAAAATATCTTCTTTTGAAACCTGACACATGGCAGTTTTTCATCTTTATTAAG